AACTTGTTCAAAATCCTAGAGGTATCCCCTTACGATTGGAACCTCTTCTATTAGAACTCTAGTTATTTACCTTAATACGATTAGAGTAGACTTGAGATTCTAGAGACTCTTAAAAGAAGTCACTTGACTCGTTTTCCTTTCCTTTAAAACATAACCTTTAAAAACTGAGACCGATATTCCAGTATTCCTTGGAGACCAAGGAACAGAGGAAGCGAGGCTCTAATACCAAAATGAAACACCCTAACCCGGACGGGTACTACTTTTACTAAAATGACCTTGATAATTGAAATACTCAAATCTTAAATTGCAGCGGGAAAAAATTTCATAAATAAAATACTGAAAACACACACTTGTAGCTTAGAGGAAAGCCCTAACACGTGGGCAAATTAAACTCAAACTTTAAAATCTCTATTTGCTCTCCAGTCTATACTCATAATCATAAAATGTAAATAACCCGGTAGTCTCTGTCGTTGCTACTACCGATAATCTTAACGAGGCATCCTCCGTGCCGCTGGAAGTGCTGAAGCAGGTAGTGGTTCCTCCTGCCTGGCCGGGGCAGGTACAGCCGATGTTGGCTTGCCACTCCTGGTAAAGATGGCATCCAGCTGCTAGTGAGCTATGTCACCAACCTAGTTCTGTAAATCTTGCAAAATGGCCCCCTGGTTCCTCAGGCCTGCCTCTAGTGAATTAATGTTCTGGTCCACCCTCGTGAAATTCGCCTGGTTGGTAGTCATGAATGCTGCTAGAATGTTTTTCAGCTCCGTCATCTGATTATCTGGAGCCGGAGCTGCTGGAGGCTGGGCATACTGACGCTGGGGCTGCTGGAATGGCTGCCACTGCCTAGGCTGGTAAGGTTGCTGCTGTGGGGGCGGGCCTTGTCTGGCCTGGAAAGGCTGCCTCTGCTGAAACCCACCTACTGGTGCTGGGAAACAAGGTGGTTTGGTGGTGTTGTCATTCCAAAAGAAGTTGGGATGCTGGCGCCACCCCGCATTGTATGTGTTGCTGTACGAGTCAAGGCGCCGAGCATTGGCGATGAAGTCAAACTGCTCTTGGGGGGTAGAAGACTCCCGCATAGCTTGGCAGTCTTCCACCAGATTATTTGAGCTCTCGCACCACTGACATTGAGCTACTGGAGGTGTAGACAAAACCTCTGCCCAGAATAAGACTGTTGGGCTGCTTCAATGTCTTCACTAACTCGGCCACCTGCTGCTCGAGCCCGGACCTGGGCTCCATGGCGTGCACACCACGGTCCCGGGAATTCCTGCCTCTGCTGCTCTGCCCCCAGGAATGATCACTGGCAGCCAATGTAGTGAACATCTGGTTCAGTTTGGTTGGAGTCTTAGTAAGAATATCCCCTCCTGGGCATAGAGACTCAATCACCCTCTGGCTTTCTGGAGAGAGAGCACTGTAGAAGTTCCCCACAGTGAATGCATCACTGAAGCCATGATGGGGACACTGCCAGAAAAATCCCATATATCGCTCCCATGCATCACGAAGTGACTCATCTGGCTCTTGGCAGAAGTGGGTGATCTCCCGCTGAATCTCTATAGTCTTCGATGCCGGGTAGTACCTATGCACGAACTTGTTGGCCAGATCGTCCCAAGATGTGATGGAAAATGGGGGTTGGGTCTCCAACCACCTCTTAGCATGCCCCGCCAAAGAATGGGGGAAGAGGTGAAGGCGGTTTGCATCATGAGGGACACCGTTCAGCTCGAACCCGTTTGTCAGCTGCAGAAAACGGGAAAGGTGCACCCTTGCCTCTTCATCCTTCTAGCCATGAAACTGGACAGATGATGTAATGAGTTGAATCCAGCATGGCTTGATCTCGAAGTTGTTTGCTTGAATGGGCGGGTAGAGGATGACAGGGCGGATATCCGCAACCCGTGGAGTGTAGTAGTACTCCAAGGTGGGACCCGGCGGCGGTGGATGATGATGAACCCCATCTGCCTGGGGTATGGGGTTGTTCCCCAAAATCTAATTCACTGGGGGAACCTGGAGAGGTATCCCCAGTGGCGGGTTATGGTCTCCTTCCATCTCGTACTCTTCCTCGGACTCGCTACTCAAGTGGTCGTCTATGCGCTCCTCCGTAGCCAGTCTAGCTCGCTGTTGTCTCCTAAGTTGGCGACAGGTGAGTTCAAGCTCCGGATCCAACGACAGTAAGCCTCCTGACTGGCTACGGGTCATGCACTACCTGCACACAGTCAAGCAGCAAACCCGTGAAGGCACAAGTGGGACAAAGCAAACAATGCGAAAAGAAAAGCTAAATTAACAGAATTCACGTGTCTTCAACAACCTAGTCGTCCCTGGCAACGGCGCCAAAACCTTGACTCACTCCTACTGTCACTCTAGAAAATGGCCAACTGTAACCACTTCCTAAAGTGTAGTATAGCGGGTTTGGGTTTTAATGTCAACCCGGGTCCTAGATGTGATGACTACTCAGCGAATTCTTATTATTAAGCAGTGAAACTTTAGTGCTGGTTCAAACAAGAAAACATGCAAGCAATTAAATGGTTGTTTTCAAGTCGAGAGAGGTCACCCATATATGGTTCCCCCTAGACTGCAGTTAAGCCGGATTGTAATTTACCAAGTTCAGTTTTAATGATAGTTATACTGAGGGAGGTTCTTAAGCAGTCTGAAGTCTCGACTAAAGGTCCCCAACAGTCAACTAACCTCCACCGGAGTAAACAGATTGAGGCCCTAACGAACCAAACCTCCATTACCGAAGTAAATTCGGTACAGAATAGTGAATTGGCTCCTCGACTAAAGTTGCTAATTCACTACCTTCAATTAAGGGTGCTCTATCAACCTAGGCAGATATTCTCTTTCTAGGTTAAAGCAGAAACAACAAGAATTTGATCAGGATTCATGCAATTCAATCATTCAAACCTCAATTGAATATAATCAAATCATAGAATCTGTACTTGGGTTCATACAATCAGACCTAACATACAAATCTAGGGTTCTCCATAACCAGATGAATGAGGTAGTTACTCCATGGAGAGAGAAGCAAAAGCAAGTTCAGATGCGGGAACCATACTGTGAAGGATGGGTTTCTGCTCCTGGTCGTCAATCGGCACTTCTCCAAGTGTGAGCCGAGCTCCAATGGTGATGAATATCAAGCTAGGGCACTTGGGAACTCTAGTTCGTCGCTCTCTCTCTCTAGGAATCGCTATGTCTCTCTAAAACTCGGAAACCTTGATTTTTACTTCTTTTCCCTTAAGAAGCTGTCTGTCACGATCCCCGGCCCAAATACCCAGTCGGGTATTTTGGGTGGCGACCGGGTATGTGCAATGAAACAACCTAACCCGGCCGGGTACTACTTTTACTAAAATGACCTTGATAATTGAAATACTCAAATCTTAAATTGCAGCGGGAAAAATTTTCATAAATAAAATACTGAAAACACACACTTGTAGCTCAGAGGAAAGCCCTAACACGTGGGCAAATTAAACTCAAACTTTAAAATCTCTATCTGATCTCAAGTTTATACTCATAATCATAAAATGTAAATAACCCGGTAGTCTATGTCGTTGCTGCTATACCGAAAATCTTAACTAGGCATCCTCCGTTTCGCTTACACTGCCCTTCTCTAGCTGGCTGCTCTCGAACTTGCTTCTCACTAACTACTCCTCTAGCTCCTTCTCTAACTCGTCAAACTGGTGAGTGGGATGGGGTCAGTCTACGCCCTTACGTTTAACAACTTATTAATACTTGATCACTTTACTTAACTGAGTGAAAGTTGTTTTGTACTTCCACTATTAAAAAGCTTAACTCTTAAAACTGTATTGGAGTTATTGTTACTCCACTCTTAAATCTCAAAGCTTGACTTAAATACTTGACCGACACTGGGATCCCTCACTAGCTAGTCCGGTTGCCCAACTCATACGTATGAGAAGCCATCCAGGCTTTCCTTAAATTTAAACTTAGTTAGGGAAGTCGTAAGGATTCATCCCCCTAACATCTTAAACTTATCGTGGTGGCTCTTCACCACGATTTTCAAGAGCATAACTGCTGCTCATCTTAAATATCTCAAGAGCATAATCGCTGCTATGTCTGAAAATCTCAAGTGGCAACGGACTGGCGCTAGCGACTAAAAACACTTAAAACGACCTCACCTTCTTGAAAAAGAACTTGATTCTTAACTTTAACGATAACTTATAACATAACGCTTTAAGGTAAATAGCACAAAACCAACTCAAATAGCACAAAATCACCTCAAATCATAGCTCAAGCAAGACACGAATAATCAATCCTACACATAATCAAACAACGGTAACCAATTCGCAAAAATACTTAAAATCATAATACTTAAAAGAATACGTAAGGCGTAGAATTTACCCCCTTTACACTCACTCGGCATTTATGTCGAGCGGCTTGAACTAACCATGAGACTACCACTTCTGGATTCTACCGGCTCAGTCGCCACCATTTGGTCACATATCTTTAGCTTGTTTACGTAGCCACCCAAACTACTCATCCCTTCATGGCCATGCAAACTAAATATCACTACCCATATGCACCATACAAGCCGCCCACTTGTGGCTTTCATCTGCTCCACTCTCCATAGTCAATTAAGTTGTAGAATCATTCATTACTAATCTATGATCATCATGGGTTTCAACTTCCCATCCCCATGAAAGAGGACAAAGTCGTCATATAAATAACATTAAAGCATAATCACAACCACCATAATCATATATCCCAGCGAAGCGACTAGACACCTTCAACATCATCAACTGATTTAATTTGCTTGGCCTTCTTGAGGATACAACTAGCATGGTTCCACATAGGGATGAAACCGTCGAATTGGGAGGATTGGATCATTTTTCCAAGTCGGAAATTCTCCTTTCCCATTGAAGTTCCACAACCGTCCAATGTCCACCGATGCCAAGTCGGTTACTTTGCCAAGGACCAGCTTGCTTGGTGGGATGGCAATAAAAAAACGAGACAAGCTTGATTGCTTTCTCGTAGTGGAAAGGGAAAACTGTCGACGCCCTTGATCAGCCCTCCATCGACACCTCAAGCCTCAATTTCGATCGACCTGAAATCCCCGACCACCTGTTGAAACGTCGGCAGCATTTGCTCTGTCGGAATCTCCATCTCCTTCTAAACGATGCGCATCCAATACCATTCCTTCCGGTTGCTGTTCCTTCCACCAGCTCGGCCTCCGAAATCCCAATGGAACGAAGGAAGTCGAGTTTGGGACCAACTATTCTCTCGGGATCCATCCCGAGTACACCAGGGCACCGCTTGATGCATTTGGCGATTTGGGTACCGGAGAATCCATGGCTCCTCAGCAGATTGGCAAAAGAATCCTGTTTCTCGGCAGTCCGGAAGTTCATAAACCTAGATTTAGCAAGGCGTTCCCTTCCACCTCCTCTTCTTCTTCTTCTCGCTCGTGGGATGGGGACAAGGCAGGGCGACGGTGGGTTTGAAGACCAGCGAGAGGATTGGAGCGGCTGCCAACTACAGTCTTTCAAGAACTCTGTTCGGTCTCAATTTCGGATTGAAAGCTGAGGATGGCGACGGCGGAATTTGGTGGGTCTGAATCGGACTTGTTAGTTAGCTTTGGCCGAGCGGAGTAGTGGCTGCTCCCTCTCTCTCTCTTAGGTCCACGTGAAGCCGAGTAGGGTTGGGGTAGGGGCTTAGGATTTAACTGCCCGGGTTATTTTGGGAATAACATAACTACGAGTGTTTAATCCGAAACTCGGTCAATGTCCGTAACTTCCTCATTTTATGTCGAAATTCGACACCGCTTGAACCGATAGTTCACATTTTAAATCCTCCTTGACATTACTGTGGAACTTGACCGAAGGATATAATAGATATTTTGACTTTTGGGAAGAGCGGGGTGTAACATGCAAAACGCACCGTCGGGTAACAGGGGAAAATCCCCGGTCATGGCCAAGAATCCCCGACCGGTGATTTTTGCCTCCTGCCCGGGCCCCCTTCTGTTTCTCAAAGACGCCCAAAGCTTCAGATCCCCGGTCATCGCCAAATAATACCCGGCCAAGTATTTCTGATCATGGCTGGGTATTTTTGTTCTCCAGCACACTTCAAACTTCACATGCTCCTTTTGATCCAAAACTCGTTCCTTAGCGTCGATGCCCACGCTAAGCCCTGAAATATGAGATAAACGCACAACCTAGCGTGAAATCGGCTTAAAACACGAGAATCATTGTCTCAAACGGCTAAAGAATAGGGGTAAAAACATGTGTAATTAATGGTCTATCACAAAGGAAGTCTTGTTTTGAAGCTGCTGGGTTTCTCTACAAGATAGAGTATTTTGGAGCTCAAGAACAAGGCAGGAGGGTCATGGTTAAAGCGTCTCAAAAAGCTATTTCGAAACAGGAATTCTGCCAAAAATTGGCTAAGTGTCAGAACCAGTTTGAGTACCCTACTTTGGAGGATTATTCGAAGCACATGGAGGAGAGTCGAGGCTGGAGCTTTGTACAACATAAAAGTACAAGTGATTTGCTACAACGACGTGGAGTTGGTTGATCGAAACATTACCTTGAAGTCTTCAAACGAAAGCCTGCAAGATTGTATGAAGACTGACCAAAACTGTCTTGCAGCCCAACAATCTGAGTCCTTTGCGGATTAGGATTCCTTTGTTGTTTTGTGTTTAATTCCTTTCATTGTGGGTTTTGATTTCCTTTTCCAATTGTCATTTGTTTAGGACTTCTCTAAGAGTAGTAGGATTGGCTAGGTCTATTTAAGTAGCTTTGATTCATTGTAATTTTCAGATTTCATAGAATTGAATACAAACTTGAGTTTGGTTCACAAAGCTTATTGCTTCATGAGTTTGAGAGTTGCTTAGAAGGATTTCTACGCAGCTTGAGTGCTTGTATGGTTCAGCTAATCACGCTGTTCGTGGCCAAGCTTCTACCTATAGTTTACGAGCCTTTCTCCCTTCGTGAGAATTGCACGAAACTTCCACCTACACCCATTCAAACCGTACCCTGTTTGTGGAGTTCTTGCTCGAGGGAACTCTTAGATTCCTTAGCTGTGCTATTCTGATCAATAAACCTCATCTAGGGGTTCATCAAGTACCAGCCTTGGTTTCCTGTATCACGTCATCAAACGGGACAAAAACACTAGTGGCTTTTGCCTTGAATGGCTTACCAGCACTTGCAACCACACCATTCGAGTCCACTTCCTTAACATCATCCATCAAAAAGTTAATTCTCTCCTCTCTGTCCCTCAATATCAAAGTACCATCATTCACATCAATCGGTGCCTTCGGGGTGGCAAGGAAAGGACGTCCAAGTATGAGTGGCATATCCAAGTCCTCGCTAATATCAAAGATCACATAGTCCGTCGGATAGAAGAATTAGCCAACTCTTGCTAGCTTGTCTTCCACAATACCCCTAGGACTAATGACGGAGCAATCGACCAATGTGACACTCAGCCTAGTAGTCTTTAGTTCTCCTAGATTCAAGTTTCTAAAAATCTTGTAAGGCATTACATTTATGCTTGCTGCTAAGTCCGCCAAGGAGTTTTCTATATGATGAGTTCCAATGTAGAGAGGGATAGTAAAACTACCTGGGTTCAGTTTCTTTTGAGGCAATTTGTTTTGGATGATCGGTTAGCACCCCTCGCCCAAAGTGACGGTTGAGAGGTCTTCAAGCTTGTGCTTCTTTGTGAGAAGCCCTTTTAGGTACTTTGCATACCCCAACATACAAGCCATTGCCTCCAAGAAGGGCATGGTAAGGTTTAGTTTCTTCAGCATATCCATGAACTTCCCACACTTCGCATCCAATCCATCCTTAGGAACCCTCATTGGGAAATGAAGAGTAGGCTTGTGCCTTCTTAGTCGTTTCTTCCTCCCCTTTCGAGCCTTCTTGATCATCGGCAGTTGGAGGGGCCTTCTCTTCTTCGATTACTTCCTTAGCAACAACTTCCGGAGTCCCCTTCCCGCTTCTCAACTGAATAGCATTCAACCCGAAATTTTGATCTTTAGGGTTGACAATAGTTTGGGAGGGTAGATCTCCCCTTGGTCTCTCGGTGAGGATCCTGGCAAGATTGCCGATTTGGGCCTCCAAGTTTTGGAGACTTGTTTGGTGACTTCTTAGACCCGCCTAAACAGATGAAAACTTGGTATTTTCTAAATCCATGAATTGCTCAATCGTCTCAAACTTTTGAGAACTTGTACTCACAAAGGTGGTGACTAGATCTTCAAGCTTTGTAAACTTGTCGGGTTGTTGTTGTTGGAACCCTTGACCACCTTGCACTTAGAATGGTTGTTGGAAGTTCGAGTCTTAAAATTGTGGCCTTTGTTGAATGGAAGGAGGCCTTCATTGATAATTCCCTGTTGGTCCTTGGAAACCGGTGGGTCTTGGATTTCTTTGGGAAGACCAAGCAAAGTTGGGATGATTGCGTGAAAACTTCGTATTTTCACATGTTTGCACCCTTGTTTCTTTATCATTTTGGCTTGATTTTTTGATTTCTTGGACTATTATACGCTAGGTTGTGTTCCTTTGTCACATTTCAGGCCCTAGCATGTAAAGTGAAGCCTAGGCGCAAGTTTCAAGTAAATAGGAGATCAATTGGCGACTAGGGGTGAGAAACTCGGGAAGGACTTGAGGAAGAATGGATTTATACCTCATTTTATTGACAAATAATCATGAAAGGAAAGAGGACAAGACTACGAGCATCTGGGATCAAACGACACCTGAATCAGAGGTCAAACGAGATCAACGAAGATTAGGAGTGCATGTGACTCGCTATGACACAACTCCTAACAATTGCCAAGTGTACCAATGAAAGGGACTGCAGTATAGTGGCTCAAGTAATAAATATCGAATCCACGGGTCTCTAGAGTTACTATTACACAGCTTTAGTTCATTATCTAGCAAACCAGATTAAGATAGAACAACTAAAACTACTCTAGCAAACTACAGTTAAAGTTAATCTAATTACAGGTTGGGAACTCACTTAGGTATGATTCCCCCTAGCCACTAGCCAGATTAATGATTGATGATCTCTAACATGTTTCACTTTCATTCACAATGCGGAGAATCCTGGACTAGACCTTGAGTCTCGACTAAAGGAACAATGCCCTTTTGAGTCAATTGCCTAGAGGGACGTATCCTTCTCTAGAACAACCGATCAAGACTTTCTGAACTAGACTCCCTCTATCAAAAGAGGTTCTCAATCGATACAAAGCAGTGAATCAACCCTCGACTAAAGCAATCGGTCCAATAATATCAATCTATGGTGCTCTATTGACCTAATCAGGTATTCGCTCTCATAGGATCAAAGAAGAATCAATAATCTCGACTAAAGTAGAACTGAATCATGAAAACTGCATAGATTGAATATGAACTCAAGATTATCAAGTAAGAGTACTCATACAATCATCCAATCAAACAAACATAGCTAGGGTTCCTCAAACCCTAAGTGAAGGGAAGTTACTCCATAGAGAAGAGAGAGACTGCAGTAAGAATCTTCAGATGATTAGTCTTCAAGTCCGGGCTTGTTCCTCGAGCTTCCAAGGCAAAGAAATCCTCCAATTCCACTCCAAGAATGCCCTCAAATCGCCCTCTCTCTCTTTGGTTCGTCCCTTGGGTGTTTTGGATCCAAAACCCAGCTCCCCCTTTCCTTTGGCTTCAATCTGCTTAAAAAACCCGATTCTCGGAAAAACACGGTCGAGGACATGGTCGTGTTTTGCTTTTGTCCTCCCGTGTTTTGCCCCGTGTTAAAAACACCCCCGCGCGCGTCAGCCAAAACACGGTCGTGCCTAAATATGGGCACGGCCGTGTTTTGATTTAGGCGCGCCCGTGTTTTACTGCCGAACCTGTTCCCCTTTTGATCCCAGATGCTGGTAGTCTCGTCCTCTTTCTTTTCATAATAAGCTTGCATGATTCTTTGTCCATAAAGTGAGTTATAAATCCATTCTTCTTCAGGTCATGCCCGAGTTTCTTCTCCCTAATCGACAATTGATCTCTGATTGACTTGAAACTTGCGCCTATGCTTCATTTTATGTGCTAGGACCTAAAATGTGACAAAGGAACTCAACCTAGCGTAAAATAGGCCAAAGACGCGATAATTAAAGCTCAAACGATCAAGAAACAAAGGGAAAAAATGCGCAAATATCGAGTCATCAAATTCCCCCACACTTAACCGTTTGCTTGTCCCCAAGCAAACCTAACTCAAACCAATGCATCTATCCAGACCTCTATAGCAATATACAACCCCGATCGTCGATAGAGGATTTCCTAGATCATATAGCAGCTTACGAGGTCAACTGGTCTTCTAAGACGTTCCCTATCTCTCTCAATGCGAGTACTAGACTCATGCCAGGATCATGAGAAGAAGTAGAAGTAAGACAGTCAGTTCA